ACGATGTATTTCTGATCTTATGTTTGAAGTCAATGGAAAAATAAGGCTTCCTTGGCAGCTAATTATAGTGAAATATTCTGCAAGGTGAGGTCTGTAGAACCAGCAAAACTTTGTTCTAATCGTGGATATTATTTGCACAGAAACCAGCTGTTCCCTTTGGTCTCTGTATTGTTAAGATGGCTGTTTGTTGTGCCTGTGTGGAGAGAACAGAGGGAATTAAAAAAGTATTTCTTAGACGTTCACTATAAGTACTCAGTGTTCTGTGCTGGCAGAGGTACACTTTGTGTTCATGGTGTAAAATATCTATGGACCCTGTCCTAGAAGATCTTACGATCTAAGAGTAATTTATATTCATCTTATAACTTGTAGATTAATTTATGGTGTTAACTTTTTGCTTTGTTTGATATTTCTTCCTTTGTCTGCCAACTTGCCAGTTTCAGTAATTGAGAGCTTCCTCTGTGGAGGGCCGCAGGGTTGTAGGGTTGACCTGGCGCTGGACCTGCCCTCTGCCTCCAGAGTTCTGCTCACGCGAGGCACAGTGTTCTGCCCCCTTGCCCTCCTCCCCCTGAGAGGTCGGCTGAGTGGATGTGTGTGGGCTCTTGACCTGCTGGCGGCTCCCGTTCTTCCCGGAGGGCCACCCCCTGTGCGGGTATTATAAACTCTTGGTTTTCAGAAGGTCATGGCTCTGCGACGTGTCAGGGACCCTCAGGGAAGGAGTTGCCCTCCCGTTCTGTGCGTGTGAGGTTGGGCAAAGGAGAGCCTGCGTTGGCACCATGGAACGGTGGGAGTGTGTCCCAGGCACCCAGCCAGGAGCAGGTTGGAATACAGACCAGGATGATCCAGAAGCAGTAGGGTCTTTAGCCTGGCCATGAGGGATGTGGCTGATGATCCCAGAATCCGGGGTAGGGAGGCTCCATGGGATGCCTGTCCACGCGGGGAGTTGGGGACGTGGCCACCGTACTGCACGTGTCACGGTTTTCCCCCTTCTATAGCTCCTTCCATGTATCAGAATTCCAGAGTCTCCTGTACTGTAAATTAATCCAGATTTACGGCCCAGGCAGGGAAGAGTCTGGGTTGGGCCTAAAGGACCCAGAAGAGGGGCAGTGTAAACCCTGAAATTTTCACATTGTGCCACGATCATCTTCCTGTTGAGATGCGTGGCTGGAAGCAGGGTGGCAGGTTCACGGCCGCATTGGGCTAAGGGCCTCCTGTCATCTTGGGATCAGCCTGAATTGCTCTCAGAGCTTGTTCTACGTCCTCCAAAGTTGTTATTGCGGATAAAAGCAGGCCCCGGCAGGCTGCAGCTCTGGTAAATGGCTGGCGAGCTGATGGAGTGGTTTCTTCTCACACACAGGTTCTGATGTACTTGCCTGGGTTTAAATTATCGGAAGGTGTTTTTCAAGAAAGCATGATCAACAAGTTCTTAACTTAGCCTTTCCATCCTACCCCACCATGGGGAGAGCTTCCCAAGGGGTCCTCAGCACACTGGTCTGTGCAAATTCCCACCCACTCTTTAGGCCAAGGGGCAAGAGGGGTCTCCTCTCCCCTGCCCTCTCTTCCCCTGCTTTTTTTTTTTTTAACATATAAAGGGAGCAGTACATTTTAATTAGGTTATCTTTCTGTTAATGACATACAAAATGAAGTCGCATTAATCGTGTGTGCTGGCCTGTGATCATCCACATGGCAGTGGCCGGCAGTGCCCGCCAGAGCAGTCAGGGCCATCCACAGAAATTGCCATCAATTCATTTTAACTGAAGCTCAGAAAGGGGAGTTTTTATTTGTTTTCCCCTTTGCAAAGCGCCCTGGTTTCTGCAGAGCCAGGCAGAGCAGAAGCAGGAATTGGGTTCAGGAGCCCAAACTCCAGCCTAGGACGTCATGGTCTGGGACCCGGGCCCTCGGCGGACCCTGGCATAGCGGGCGGCGCCGGAGGCCCGCGGGGCAGCCGGTGAGCGGCCTGCGTGTTGTCTTGGCCAGCTTCCCGCGCTGCCTGTGACCCGTGGAAGGAGGGCTGGAAGGAGGGCGGCGACGTGTCCGACAGCGGGAGCAGTACCAGCAGTGGCCACTGGAGCGCGAGCAGCGGCCTGTCCACCCCGTCGCCTCCCCGCCCCCAGGCCAGCCCCAGGTATCTGGGGGACGCCTTTGGGTCGCCCCACACTGATAATGGATTTGACACCGATCCAGACGCTTTCCTGCTGGATGAACCAGCTCCACGCAAAAGAAAGGTGGGTGGTGCGGTGTGAGCGTGAGCACGGCGCCCGCATGCAGGGCCCCAGGTCCTGGGTGCTCCCAGGCCCCGGCTTCCCTCTGCTGCTCCGGCCCCTCCCGATATTCCCAGGAGTCCGTCCTCCTCCTCCATGCCCATCCCTGGCACCAGTCCTGCTTCTCCGCTGCCCTCCGGAGGAGGCCTGGGCGCCACACCCCAGCTCAAGGCCACCAGAACCCCGGGACAGGTTCTCTAGCCCAAGAAACCTCTTCCCGAGCCTTTTTCTGGGCGCTGTTCCAGGGCAGCTGCTGTCAGAGGGTGAGGGTGAGTGGGGGCGTGAGAGGAACACGTCCCAGTGACCGCGTCTTCCTTTCCAGAACTCCGTGAAGGTGATGTACACGTGCCTGTGGCCAAACTGTGGCAAAGTCCTGCGTTCCATCGTGGGCATCAAGCGACACATCAAAGCCCTCCACCTGGGGTAGGTGTGGGCCAGGGCCTCTGGCAAGCAGTGCGCTGGTGTTCTCCACCACCACCCACAGCCCGAGGGCTCCCCGGGAGTGCCTTGCTGAGAACGACACCTGGTGCCTGTTGCTGGCCCTGGGCCCGGTGGGACTGCCCGCTGGGAAGAAGTTTTGCTGGGAAGGCAGACCGGCCTGTTGTAGCTGTGGCCGCTGCTCCTGGGAAGGGTGCTCTGTCCACCCGGGGGCATGGCTTGCCTCACTGGGGGAGGCAGGAAGCTTTAGATTGGGGCAGAAATTGGGTGATTTGGTGAGTCCTGCACCCGCTTGCCCCGGGGACCAGGGCCCCTTAGGCCTGACTCTCTAGACCAGGGCTGCTCACGGCAGAGGAGGCTCACCCTGCCCTGTCCCTCAGAGGGTGCAGTGCAGGTGGCTGGGGCCCGGAGAGGCCCCAGGGCAGAGCTCTGAGTCGTAGGACTTGAGGAGAGGGCTTGCATGTTCTGCGAGAGAAGCCAGAGAAGCGAAGCCATGGGTGTGAGGACCACACCCGCTACTGGGCAGGCTGGGCCCTGTGTCATTACCCCAGGGGTGGGCCTCCACGCATTCTGGGCTCCTCCCCTGACCCCTGAGCCAGCACGCCCTCCTGTGCCTTGGTTTCCCCGTTTGAACTGAGGCAGCCTGTCCTGACCATGGCATCTCCTCCCACACAGGGACACTGTGGACTCGGATCAGTTCAGGCGGGAGGAGGATTTCTACTACACAGAGATGCAGGTGAAGGAGGGTGCTGCTGCGGCCCCCACAGCTGACCCAGCTCCCACCCCTGGTGTGGCCAGCCCGCCCCTCGCCACTCTTCCATCGCTGCCTCCCAAAGCCCAGCCATCAGGCCCGGAACACCCAGGCCTGGAGTCTTACCTGCGCCCTGGTGCTCTCAGCAAGTCAGCTCCTGGCTCCTTCTGGCATATCCAGGCGGACCACGCATACCAGGTACGGGGTTGGGGCAGGCCGGGCGCTCAGCCTTGTGGCTCTGAGGATGTTCGATGTCTGGTCCATCATTAGCCAGCCTGCTCACAGGCCACTGACCTCCCTGATTGAAGGCTGGGCCTTTAGCCAAACTGCCAATCACTGATTTCTACAAAGATGAAAAGGAAAATGACCTCACGCTCAGTAAAGTCAGGAATTCTGGCGTTCCTCCTTGGAGGCTGTCATGAGTTACTAAAAATCTGGCCGAATTCCTGAGTGCCAGATTGATGGATCTGGAGTGGGGAACTGTGACACCACTGGTTATAAAAGGGGACAGAGTGGTGTAGTTGGGCTTCCCAGAGCAAGTCCTGAGTTCCTAGAATTGTGTTATGTTAACAAACAAGCCAGGACCCATTTTTTGGAATATCTACTGTGTGTTGAGCACTGGGTTTGTCACGTGGAGCAAGACTTAATCTTTGACCTTGTGAAGTGCATGGTTTAGTTGGAGAGAGAAATGAGTATGTGACTATGATTAATTTTAATAAATAATCAAGGTGTCTTCCTAGAGGCACAAGAAATAGTTGTGGGTACAGGAAGGACCAGGCTCTTATTTCCATGGGGTTGGGAGGGTTGTCATGGACACGTAGGATGGTCCTCACTGCGTGTAGTAGGTACTTAGTGAACACACAGCTTGCTGTGTGCTAGTTTTCTGAAAATCCTCTTATGCCAACAGCTTGGGTTTTTTCAGACTCGAGGCTGGTTTGCAGGCTAGTAAGTAGAAAGCAGTGTTTTGGATCAGAAAAGCCTTTACAAAGTGAGTCGGCTTCCCTTCTCATCGGAATGAGTGGCCGCCTAGCTGTTTCATATTTGGCCAACTTCAGGTGGCCCGTCAGGCAGCTGGCAGACCCCATGACTGGGGGTCTGGAGAAGGCAGCTGGACTTCCCACGACGACACCTAAATCCAGACGTTGAGGAGAGCGTTGCTACTTGCCAGGGGTCGTGGGGGACAGCGTACATACCCACGCTCCAAGGCTTTTGAGGAACCGCGTATAGCAAGTGATCTAGCCAGGAAGTTGATCCCCTGGGGTCATCCAGTCATGAGGCTGGCATGTAAGCCAGCTCCTTGAGAGGGGTTCCACAGAGAGAATGGAGCTTAGGATCATGGAGACTCCTTCCAAGAGCTGGCTGCTCGGACACTTGGCTTGGGGAGGGCATTCTGCTCTAGCTAGTACCTCGCAGCCAGAGACACAGCTTCGGCTGTGAGCCGTGCAGTCACGGGAAGAACGGGTGGGCTGGGAACCTCTGAGCAAGGCGAGGCTGATGCACTCTTGTCCTCGGCAGGCCCTGCCATCCTTTCAGATCCCCGTCTCACCACACATCTACACCAGTATTAGCTGGGCAGCTGCACCCTCCACGGCCTCCTCCCTGTCGCCGGTGAGTGAGCCCATCTCTGGGCCTGTCGACCCTTCTTGGGGGCCCTGGAACAGGCTGAGGGCTCGTCCATACATAGCCGGTGCCAGAGCCATCTCCCTGCACTTGCCTCCGGTGCCCTGACTTCTTGGCGCTCTCCATGCTCTCTCTCCTGTCGCCTAGCACTTCCACCTGGTCACTGCCCCCTCCTGGAGGGGGAAGGAGGGTGCTGGCAGCAGAGTGCCCACATCCAGCAAGATGATTGCTGGGAAAACCAGCAGGCGAGGCCAGAGTCGGAGCCCTGTGTAGCCCCAAATGTCTTCAGCTGCTCCTTCACAGTTTTAATCCGAGAGAAGGGAGAGAATGTGGGAAAGTCAGAGAGGATGAGGTGGGCAAGAAAGAGACTGGGGTTTGTGGGGGCCTTGTGGGGTGGATCGGAAATCACGAGGCTACTACTGATGCTGCAGGTTGCTTGCTTCTAATGAAAATAAATTGGAAACCAATGTGAGGCAGGCACAGTGCTTTCCAGAAGGTGTCAAACCTAAGTGTGCGTAAGTGCCATTGAGGCAGTGCATCCCTTCCTTTTGTTCCACACACGGTGCCTCCACCTAATGCTGCAGGGAGCAGGCCAGAGGCTCCCCTCTGTGTGGCCTCTACTCCATTCCCAGAGTGGCCTGCTCCTCCCCACCTGGCCCCTGCTCACCTTGACTGGGAATGTCCTTCCAGAGGCCCCCTGGCACTAGGAGGGGCTCGGCAGGTGTGGCCGACTCTCCTGTAGGATGGCTTGTCACTGGTCCCTCCTGCCCTTACGCTCATGGCCCGTGCTTACCACCTGTGTCTCCGTGCCCAGGTCCGGAGCCGGTCGCTAAGCTTCAGCGAGCCCCCGCAGCCGGCACCTGCAGTGAAGTCACACCTGGTCGTCACTTCTCCACCCCGGGCCCAGAGCAGCACCAGGTGAGACCTCCTGTGGCCTCCCTTGGGCTCTGTCCCCATATTCCCACTGTAAGTGTGGGCTCCCGGTCCACCTGCCCTCGTCCCCAGGAGTAGCCCCCAGGGAGCCCACTGGGAGGACACAGTGGGTGTGCGGGAGGCTCCTTCCAGACCCTGCCTGTTCAGCCAGCCTCATGGCGGTGGCCTTGTCCAGCCCAGCACGTGACTGTGCCCTCGTGACTGTCCCTCGGCAGGAAGGCCCGTGGGGAGGCCAAGAAGTGCCGCAAGGTGTATGGGATAGAGCACCGGGACCAGTGGTGCACCGCCTGCCGCTGGAAGAAAGCCTGCCAGCGCTTCCTGGACTGAACCTGCCCGGCCGGCTTGTCCCCTATGCTCCCGGCCCCGTGTGGCTGGTGACACGAGGCAGACGTGTCACAGGCCCTCAGCAGAAACCCGAAGGAGAAAAAGAGTGGACATTGGGAGTTTGGGCTCTGTTGGTCAAGGTGTAATACTCAAAACCTTTCCCCCCCTTGTGGGAACATTTTATTTTTTAAAAAAAAACAGCAAAAATATTTTTTCCCTCTAAAATAGGAGAGAGCAAAAACTGACCAGGGGTATTCTGCAGCAAACCAGAGACCAAAGAATTAACCACCCTCGCTTTCCCACATCCTGTCTCTCTGGGGGATTAGTGTGTACATCAAAAGAAGGAACAGCGCATTCTGTTTCCTGCCCAGTTGGTGAATTCTTTGTTTTCTCAACTCTTCCAGAAGGGACTGTGAGCAGGATGAATTAAGTTTTCTTAAAAAAAAAAACAAACCCCAACAACAAAATACACCAGCTTCCGGTGATGACTCAGTGACCAGGACCTGCTGTGGATGGGGTGGGAAGGGGCCTGGGGCCGGGGGAGGGGGGAACCTGTGTCCTTTTTAAGGTGCAGCCAGCCACCCCTCCTCCTCCTGAACCCAGGAGGAGGGAGGGCTTGTCCTTGCCAAGCAACTTTTGTGGAGGTAAAAGGAGACCCCTTTCTCCATGACAACTCTTTGAACCTGGGTTCCCTCGGACACTGGGTTGCATCCCAATAAATATTGTATGGCTCCTTCTCAAAGCTCAGACTAATAGTTTTTAAAGACTGTCCCCAAATAGCTGAGCCAAAAGGCTAATACAAATTCGCTTTTTGAAATGTGGCAGTTGAACACTTCCTTGATCATTCTTTCCTCCTATTTGAGGAAGAACCAGAGGGTTGCAGTCTTTGTGGAAGCGTCTGCTGTCACCTGAGTGAACGAACTCCCTCCTGACGTGGCCTCCCTCCAGTCAAGGACATGACACATCTCCAACACTTCCTTCGTTTTTGGTGTAGTCAGCAGCCTTTTTCTGAGTAAAGTTCCCTGTTACTTGGGCGAGAACCCCGCCCCACAGTAGGTTCCTCTTTGTCTCTGGTTCCTGGGGATTTTCCCATTTCCCTCAGGCTGCAGGGAGGGCTGGCGTGGGGCAGGCAGACAGAGGCCAGACGGAGCAGGAAGTGGCAGCTTGCCCCCGTGGTGGGGAGGAGGGTGCCAGGTCCCCAATCATTCCAGGGGCTCACCTGCCCCCTCGGAGACACTGTGACCTTCATCCTAAGGTGGCAAGTAGGACAGGACTCCAGTCGGGGCAGAAGGCATTTTACCAGCATGAGTCCAGCCCGAGTGATGTGGAGGGTCAGCGCCACCTCCCTGGGTATCTGCTGAGCGCCACACCTTGCTGATGGTGGGATGGGAAAGGCTAGAGTCTGAGGCAGTCGTGTGAGGAGGCCTGGCTGGGACGAGGACCTCCTGGTACTTCAGCCCTTGGTGCCTCTGGAGACCTCAGGAATGGAGGAGAACCTGGACTTCACTGCTTGGGAGGAAAATAAAGCAAAACTGTCTTGTTGAGAAGGGAGTGCCTCCACCTAATGCTGCAGGGAGCAGGCCAGAGGCTCCCCTCTGTGTGGCCTCTACTCCATTCCCAGAGTGGCCTGCTCCTCCCCACCTGGCCCCTGCTCACCTTGACTGGGAATGTCCTTCCAGAGGCCCCCTGGCACTAGGAGGGGCTCGGCAGGTGTGGCCGACTCTCCTGTAGGATGGCTTGTCACTGGTCCCTCCTGCCCTTACGCTCATGGCCCGTGCTTACCACCTGTGTCTCCGTGCCCAGGTCCGGAGCCGGTCGCTAAGCTTCAGCGAGCCCCCGCAGCCGGCACCTGCAGTGAAGTCACACCTGGTCGTCACTTCTCCACCCCGGGCCCAGAGCAGCACCAGGTGAGACCTCCTGTGGCCTCCCTTGGGCTCTGTCCCCATATTCCCACTGTAAGTGTGGGCTCCCGGTCCACCTGCCCTCGTCCCCAGGAGTAGCCCCCAGGGAGCCCACTGGGAGGACACAGTGGGTGTGCGGGAGGCTCCTTCCAGACCCTGCCTGTTCAGCCAGCCTCATGGCGGTGGCCTTGTCCAGCCCAGCACGTGACTGTGCCCTCGTGACTGTCCCTCGGCAGGAAGGCCCGTGGGGAGGCCAAGAAGTGCCGCAAGGTGTATGGGATAGAGCACCGGGACCAGTGGTGCACCGCCTGCCGCTGGAAGAAAGCCTGCCAGCGCTTCCTGGACTGAACCTGCCCGGCCGGCTTGTCCCCTATGCTCCCGGCCCCGTGTGGCTGGTGACACGAGGCAGACGTGTCACAGGCCCTCAGCAGAAACCCGAAGGAGAAAAAGAGTGGACATTGGGAGTTTGGGCTCTGTTGGTCAAGGTGTAATACTCAAAACCTTTCCCCCCCTTGTGGGAACATTTTATTTTTTAAAAAAAAACAGCAAAAATATTTTTTCCCTCTAAAATAGGAGAGAGCAAAAACTGACCAGGGGTATTCTGCAGCAAACCAGAGACCAAAGAATTAACCACCCTCGCTTTCCCACATCCTGTCTCTCTGGGGGATTAGTGTGTACATCAAAAGAAGGAACAGCGCATTCTGTTTCCTGCCCAGTTGGTGAATTCTTTGTTTTCTCAACTCTTCCAGAAGGGACTGTGAGCAGGATGAATTAAGTTTTCTTAAAAAAAAAACAAACCCCAACAACAAAATACACCAGCTTCCGGTGATGACTCAGTGACCAGGACCTGCTGTGGATGGGGTGGGAAGGGGCCTGGGGCCGGGGGAGGGGGGAACCTGTGTCCTTTTTAAGGTGCAGCCAGCCACCCCTCCTCCTCCTGAACCCAGGAGGAGGGAGGGCTTGTCCTTGCCAAGCAACTTTTGTGGAGGTAAAAGGAGACCCCTTTCTCCATGACAACTCTTTGAACCTGGGTTCCCTCGGACACTGGGTTGCATCCCAATAAATATTGTATGGCTCCTTCTCAAAGCTCAGACTAATAGTTTTTAAAGACTGTCCCCAAATAGCTGAGCCAAAAGGCTAATACAAATTCGCTTTTTGAAATGTGGCAGTTGAACACTTCCTTGATCATTCTTTCCTCCTATTTGAGGAAGAACCAGAGGGTTGCAGTCTTTGTGGAAGCGTCTGCTGTCACCTGAGTGAACGAACTCCCTCCTGACGTGGCCTCCCTCCAGTCAAGGACATGACACATCTCCAACACTTCCTTCGTTTTTGGTGTAGTCAGCAGCCTTTTTCTGAGTAAAGTTCCCTGTTACTTGGGCGAGAACCCCGCCCCACAGTAGGTTCCTCTTTGTCTCTGGTTCCTGGGGATTTTCCCATTTCCCTCAGGCTGCAGGGAGGGCTGGCGTGGGGCAGGCAGACAGAGGCCAGACGGAGCAGGAAGTGGCAGCTTGCCCCCGTGGTGGGGAGGAGGGTGCCAGGTCCCTAATCATTCCAGGGGCTCACCTGCCCCCTCGGAGACACTGTGACCTTCATCCTAAGGTGGCAAGTAGGACAGGACTCCAGTCGGGGCAGAAGGCATTTTACCAGCATGAGTCCAGCCCGAGTGATGTGGAGGGTCAGTGCCACCTCCCTGGGTATCTGCTGAGCGCCACACCTTGCTGATGGTGGGATGGGAAAGGCTAGAGTCTGAGGCAGTCGTGTGAGGAGGCCTGGCTGGGACGAGGACCTCCTGGTACTTCAGCCCTTGGTGCCTCTGGAGACCTCAGGAATGGAGGAGAACCTGGACTTCACTGCTTGGGAGGAAAATAAAGCAAAACTGTCTTGTTGAGAAGGGGCAGGAATTGAGTTCAGTGCCACACGAACCGATGATTAATGCTGACCAGTGAGCTGAGCCCCGAAGGAGGGCACGTGTCTGGTTTGGAGCCCTACCTTTCTTCTAAGTGTGACTGTTCTGGGGATTTGCTTGAGTGTGACCACGTGGTGCCTGGCTGTCTTGGGTTCCAGTCCTTGACCTGGTTTCCCAGGGGCAGGGGCTCAGGGACTCCCACCACGCCACCTCTCCTGGGCTGGGCAGCAGCAGCCCTGCCTTAGCCCTAATGGAGGCCACCCCCGTGGCCCGGGGTGGAAACATCTGGCCACCGAGCGCCTCTGGCTGCTTCGTGTGGGAAATGTGCAGAGGTTTTCCATCCAAGACATGTTGAGTGTTAGAAAACCTGCCAGCCTAAGAATGGGCCGAGGTCGTGAAGGCTGGTGGTGGCAGGGGGAGAGGTCTTCGGTGGGGATGAGGAATATTTTTTTAACTTAGTAAAAAATGTATGTGGGATCTGTGTCCTGGTAAAGCCCCAACCCAGGCCTGCAAGTGGTGGCCCAGGGTCCTTCTGTCCCTTCCAGCTCCCTGAGAGTTAAAAGCTGACAGCTGGCTGCTGCTTGTCCAGACTTCTCACTTGCCATGTTGCCCTTATTCAGGCCCATGGGGGGGGAGGGAGTTTCTCCCCTGCCCTTCTTAACCAGAGCACGCGGGCCGAGTCTCCTCTTTAGAAAAGCTGTGTGAATACCCGCCTCAGCTTGGACTGTGTGAATAATACCTGGGGATGAAGAGTTTCTCTGAGTGAGAAAGGCTTCTCATCACTGCTGCACAGGGCAGACCAGGGAGAGAGAAGGAAGAAATTGGTGAACCAGTTTCACAACCGAGGGGGTTTTATTTTATGTTTGTAGTTTAGCTTGGGCGCAGGCTTCCCCTGTCTGCATTTGCTCCCCGCCCCTTCTGGTGGCAGGGGCCTCTTTGTGCTGCCCCATGTTGTGGCTGTCGCGTTGGTTCTTGGTGTGTGGTGTTCCTTGGGGTTGCGACGTTCATTTCTTCTCGGAGGGTGGGGGTGGTTTGTGAACCGATCCAGCAATCATGCCTGTTTTCTTCGTCTCCGTGTCTTTCCCCGCTTCCCAGCCCCCTGACCCCGGGCAGCAGAATCTGGCTGCAGGTAAGACGCCACAGGTATGCTTTTGAAACGAACAGGACTGATTTTCAAGAACAGTTATGTTGGGGAGTTTTTATTCTGGTGACGTCGCCCTTATTCAAAATACTTCTTGGCATTTAGCTTTGGGGTCTGTGGTGCCTGCTTTGAACAGCCTTAATGATACTAAATCTCTACCCAGCTCCTACAGTGCCGGGTCCTGTCACTGATTCCTGTGGTTAAGTGAGGTCACAGGTGCAAAGCACAGGGCTGGCCTGCAAGTAAAATAGCTTGGATTGAATTAATGTGACTTTTCACCAGCTGTGAAAGCAATTTTGTAAGAGAACATTTGGAGTTGCGTCCACTTTGTGATAGTAAGCTTACAGCTGGACTCCATGGAAGACATTATTAATTTGGATGTGAAACTGATTTGTTTGAAAGAAATCTGTCCTGTTACTTTCTGGTCCTCCCAGGTTCTGACTTTACCAGGAGCAAAAATAAATAAATAAATTGGGGGGAGATAAATCCCATCTGTGAATTTGTCTCACTGGCGCTTTTTCCCCCAGCTGTCTTCCAAGTATTATTTTTACTGTTGAAAGAATTTTTTTTAATGTGAAATGTAATGTTTTTACAACAACAATATGAAATATATTTTATAAGGAATAAAATGGTACATTGTCTGATTTAATGTGTGCCTGTCCCTCTACCCTCTCCCCCTGCAAAGGACAGGATTATCATCCTTGGTGTTAAAAAAATGCATGCTGGCCTGTCACGCTGCGGGCGAAGCACACACACAATCGTTTGCTTATAATAGCCACAGGTAACATTACCAAAGACCAGGCCAGGTGGATTACCCACCTAACCCTGTGTAAGAGTTCCTATTACTCCCATTTTACAGGTGAGGAGAGAGGCGCAGAGCTTAAAGAGCCTTGCCCAGGGTCATAAACTAGGGAATAAAGGCACTAGGATTGAAATCCCGGCAGTAAACTTTCTAGACTGCCTAGACTGGCAGTAGGGAGCATGTTCTTAGCTATATTCCTGTGTTTGTTGAGAGGCTGGCAAGTGGCTTAGGTCACATTACCTGAGGAATGGGTTCTGACCTCAGAGAGCAACATGGACCACTCCCTGATTTCCTCTGTTCCATGTACTGGGATGGCCCAAAGGGCAAGTTAATAGCTGGCCCAGGTGGAAGGCAGAAAGCCACACCCCCTATCCTTGCTCCCCTGGGACTGCTTTCTGCAAATTTAGCTGCTGGGACCATGAGGCATCTCTGGGAGCAGGTTCCAGGGATCACTAACAGGGCCAAGGGTGAGGGTGACGTGGCTCTGAGGACACCAGGGACGTGATTACCATCAGTCAAGCCCAGCAGCCCGTACAGCTGGTGTGGGAGGTGGTCTGTGGCTTTTTTCCTGTCTTGGGGTAGAACAGGGCTTCTATCTCCCCATTCCTTGTCTTTGCCCCACCCCATCTGTCTAAGAAAGTCCAACTAGAATCTGCTTTGCTACAGCTTGCCCAAGTTTCCCCAAATCAGCTACCTTTCAGCTGGACATTATCCACTTGCAGCCTTACTTTTATGGCTGCATCCATGGACCCCCTAACTTCTCGGCTTCTGGTTGGGTTTGACCAACAGGAGGCACCAGGCTGGAATTTGAAGGTCTGGAGGAGATAGAAGTCAGGGTATTGCATCTCCAGGCCCTTCCTGCCCCTCACAGTGTGTGAACGACCCTGAGAGTATGGGAGCCGCAATTCTCTCCGGGTTCCAGTAACCCCCTTACCCGGGCCCCCGGCACAGCACCCTCCCCTTCCTTCCTGATCTCCCCTAACCCTGTCTACAGCTGAAGGTTTGATCCACCTGTTACTCTGGGTGCACCATATGCTTCTTGGCTGGACTCTGATGCACACCTTAGTAGTGTGTTTTGTGGTAAGTTTAAGATAAAAATGACATCAGCAGGTTCTGCCCCTTGCCTCATATCCCAAACCAGCAAGATCTGCATCAGCTGGAGTTGGTTAAAAATGCAAATTTCTAAGAAATGAGAGAGGGGAGGGATGGTGGGGGGGGTGGCGAGGTGGCAGGAACCTCCCCAAGGGTGATGTGCACAGGGAGGTCCTGGGGATCGTTTCCTCTCTATCTTGCCTGCGTGCACTAATTCATTTCTTGGGGCCAGTGGTGTCCTCTGTATGGCTCTCTTATATGGCAGGAGCATGTTAAGTTCTCTGGATCTGGGGATGCAGTACCGTTGGGGTATTTTGGCTCCCGTTTCTTTATGTAAAGCATCACCATGCACCTTGTGCCTTTACCTCCGGAGAGAAGCAGCTCTTTTGGTGTGTTTGCAGTCTGTGCTTCTCAGTTACTTAAAAACAGCCAACCACTCTATTAACCATTTGCTCAGTAGAAGTTTAATGGAGAAATATCTGTTTAAAATAATCGGTCAAAAAGAACAGCTCTTTTACAAACAAGGTATGGCAGCGACAAGTCAAAGCCCCAGGCTCGATTTCCCGTTCCTTCAACGCCCCCAGAAGAGGGAAGGGGCGGGTGAGAAGGAAGGATGGGCCGTTTACATGTCAGCTGGAGGAATTACAAAAATACACTCTGATGTAGCAACAGGGTCATCATGAAACATGCCATGTGGGGAGGGACCCAGGTGGGCGGTTCCTCTCGGGTGGAGACCTGGAGGCGAAGCCTGCCTCAGTGCCTTGGGGCAGAAGGAACCCCGCTTCCCAGCCGGCAGGTCTGGGGCTGGAGACATGCTGTTTGGGGGATCACCCAGACACCTGGGGAGAGAGACATGATTAAAATGGCAAACCTGATTGTCCTTCTGACCCATCTATCCTATTTGCCCTAGTGACTGCGATACATAGGCAAAGAAAAGCTATCAACCAAGTAAACAGCCGCTAGAGCAGTAAGAAGCGTTCTCTCCCTCCCTCTGCATGCCTGCTTTTCCTGGCCCAAGTCTATTGGCAGGAACAGAATCAAGGGGAGTCCCTGGGCTGGGCCCTGAAAAGCATAGGCTAGGCCTCTTGCCCAGAAACGGTTCTTGGATCCCTGGCGTTTGGCATCTGTGTGCACTAATTCATTTCCTGGGGCCAGTGGCATCCTCTGTATGGCTCCCTTATAGAGCAGGAGCACGTCAAGCCTCATTTCACTAACTCCTCACATGATGCACCTGCTCATTTCGCACTGTCCAGAGGGGTTGAGGCGCGGGGCAGCAGAAGAGAGGAGAGTGATGTAGGATGGGGAGGGCAGGTACCAAGACCAGCTGTGTGCGACCTCCCACCCGACAGTTCTGTGTAAGACCTTCCCCTCTTTCCCGATGCCCCTCCTTCCTGGGACCTCGTGGCACTTTCTGAAGAAGGTCCTTCATCCCATCCCAGGGGTGGGTGGGCCCATTTCCTCCAACCCTGTAAGTCTAGGTTGGTTTTTATCTCTCAGAAGTACAGGGGCCTCTGGGAGCAGGCGCCTCCCGAGATGGAGAGATATCAAGCATGCATACAACTGCTTGGGGTGTGTGGGGGTGAAAAAAGATAAGGTTTAGCCCCCTGTTATGGACTCAAAAATACATATCCACATTGGAACTCAGCAACCTTGAAATGTGAGGAAAAAAGAAATGGAGCGATGGCTGTAGAAGGAGAAAGGAGGGCAATCAGTAATACCCAAACTAGCTGATCAGCATTTGCATCAAGACCCTGACATCTGGAGCAAAGCAGCAGACAGAAAAAAGTTGCCAGTTCTGTGTCGGTGCCTCTCAGTTGGAGGCTTAATAGAAAATTAGAAAAACCAATTGCTGGAATAGGAGCTCAAATCGTTTTTTGTTTTTTTTTTTAATAAATTGAGTCCTGCTAATGTGATTCTTAACTGCCTTTAGGTAAAGAAAATGGTTGTCGTCCAGAATTAGACATCAGCCTCCGCATCCCTTAAGAGGCACTTTTAAGAAGAATGAATGTCTTTAAGATTTGAAAATTAAATCCACACTACTTCTGAAGGATTTACCATTAGGTTCTGTGCAGATGTGGCTCGGGAAAAAAGAGACTGCTTGCTCAGGATCCCAGAGTATGACTTCAGAAGTAGTGTAGGTGAATTCAAGGCCTTTGGAGATTAGTCATTCTGCTAAAATAAACACGGCAGCCTTCTCGTCACAGCTTACTACGTATGTGCCGTATTTGGCAATGGACCTTTTGAACAAGCTGGCCCACTTGCAAAGAGCTATGTGGGGTGCCTCCATGCTGAAGTGTGGGTGCCAAAGATTAACACATGTATAATATACTCTGAAGGAAGGTATTCACGATCTGGCTACCTCGGATGTAAGGGCAGCACATTAAAACAGCACATGCAGACGTTTTTCTTTCATGCTTCTGTCAGGGAAAGGGCCCACTTGGGTAATGTTTTGAGAATGTTTTTGACCAACTTCTTCAAATTAGTTCTTTCCACTAGGCATGTTCTAGACTGTTTGAGAAGAGGTATGAGACTCTGGGGATAGTCATAGTCCCATAGGCGGATGAAGGCACAGATGTTTGACAGTTGGAATTTTCTTAGATTTTTTAGAAAATTCCACTGTGCTGGTTCCCTGTTACCACTCAAAGTTATGTATAGGTTGATGCGATGAGGAAAGTTAAGTTTGTAATGACTGGGCAATAAACTAGGGTCTCTGGTGTGTATCCCCTGGAATGTGTCATAGGTACACATGGGGCAGGAATGGATGAGGAGGAAGAGAGGTTTGGGGGCAAGCAAGCAAACAAGACCGAAACAAGGCACCGGGAAAGACCCGAGAAGTGAGGGGTGATGAGGATCCCTTAGTCCCTATTCTAAAAGCTTCTAAGTCAGTTGGGCTAAATTCTCGAAGCCTTGCTCAGCAATGATTCATGCCCTTGACTGCAAGGAGTCAGTCCCCCTCTGTCAAGGCACAGGATGGACAGTGAAGGCTGAGGGGAAGAAGGAAAGCAGGTGTAACTCCTGGTCCTAACAAGAACTCCAGACTGGGAGAGTGGGAGGGTGTGATGGTTTCCATGGAACTCACTCACCTTGGGATGTGAGGGGCAGGGTGGGGACAGCTAAGGTGCCTTGGAAGGTGAGACAGCAATGTCACAGCCGCAGAAAGCAGACTCTCTGCAAATGGCTGAGTGTAGGTCTGGCTATGGTTTCTTAGAGGTAAAGTCTCTTGAGGAAAGGTGAGCTGACTGGTTGCTATGGCAACCGGATAGTAGGCTTGGTCCACTTAACTGTCCCCATAGTAACTGAGCTCCTGGAGAGCTATGGAGGAATTAGTTATCTTAACATAATACTATTATCCCCATAGTAACCGATCTCGAAATGGCAGTGGTCAGCTCCAAGGAGCCATCCTAGAAATTTCTCTCCTGCCTTGAGAAAGGGTGGGCAGGAGGCCGGGAGGTGAATTTACCCTCCAGGCCTTCCTGGAGCTGAACACCTTGAGGGGGGGTGGGTATGTGTATGTGTCTGGGGTGAGTGCACTGCGGGGCCGGAGGAAGGCTTAGACACTGGGGATGTGAGGCGTCCTCTTGAGGCATCCCTGGCTCATCATGCCCAACTCACTCCTGGGTTGAAGCGGACGGCACAGCTGGGAGGCCCTTCCGGCTAGGCTCGGCCATTCTGGCGCAGGGTGCGCCGACGCTGGCTGGACTGCATGCTCAGGACCAGGTACTGCCTCATAAACTCACTGAACCGCTTCTGGTTGGCCAACTTCCGGGCCGACTTCCGGGCCCCAGTGAAGCCCCCAAACCTCTTCTGCAGCTGTTTCTGCTCTGTCTCTCCAGCCTCTTCCATGCCGGGCTCTGTCCCTTTCTGTGCTTGGAATAGGCTCCTGATGCGGGGCATCCGCTTCAGTTGCATCTCGGAGGCTCTTGGCTGGTAAAGAGCAGCCACCACGTGCTCTGGGTCAGCAGGGCTGAGCTGCCAGGAGCCCCTGGCCAGGACCTGGGTGCACGGAGTCCAGAGAGGGCGGGAGAAGACCTTCCCTTCACACTCGAGGATGCACACCTGCAAAGACAGATGGGAGGAAGGAGGATGATCAAGGACATCTATTAGGTCGAGGCAATGAGCAGGTGAAGTCCCTCTATGGTCTACATTGGTATCAATGCAAGTGCTTCCGAAGCATCTTTTTACCAAGTACCACGCAGCATTTTCACACATTGCTCTTTAGGTTCATAGCATTTCAGAGTTGTAAAGACACGGGAAACCATCCGGCCCAGCAACATCATTTCACGAAGAAACCCAGGGCTCAGAAAGGTGACATTCAGTTATGCCAGGTAACACAGCAAGTTACACAGAATGAGGGCACCCAGACTACACTCAGTTATAGCATTAGTTGGGTTTTTGGAGCCAAATACAGTCCATGAGGGTCACCTGTGAAGAAGAAATTAATTTTGTTCTCTAATCAGGCTCTTGGGACAGGTCAGATTGGTTTAAGAAACTGGGGATGTCAAAGCATGTAGTTAAATTTATATGATTATTTTAAAGTTACCAGGCAAAGGTCAACGCTGGTTGTTCATTTTCCACCCCACATATGCTATCTGCATATGTTATAGAAAATAAGGGTCAAGACCCTTTGGGATGTAGGCAGGTTGGGCAATCCAGTTCCAGGAGGGGCAAGGGGACCATCAGATGCAACCCAGTAGACCTGCCAGCTTGGCGAACTTCTGAAGCTGCTCTCCCTCTCCAGGCTACGGACCGCGTCTTACTCATGTTTGAATCCTTCCAACAATCTTCTCCATGCAGTAAATAGTAAGGTTTCAACAGAAGTGTATTGTCGTGAGCTGAATTCATTAAGAAGTCACTTTATATATGCATTATATGTAGCTAGGAGTGAAAAGGCAATAAATCTTGAATTTTTTAAAACAGGGACAGAAAGCAGAAAGACAGGAAAGAGTCACCTGAAGAATAGGAGCGGCAGGCCAGTCACAGCCAGACCTTGAGCACCCCCAGCCCTTAGTACTCGGCCGGTTACGGTACTTGCCAGTCACCTGTTGCAGTGCTTGTCACTGTTGCAACTCTGTTTACCTGATATCTTGTCTGTTCCATTAGACCAGGGTTCCTAATCTTTTTTAGGTCATAGGCTTTTTTTGATACTCTAATGTAAGCAAGCGATGGACCCACCCTTTCGCCATATAAAAGCACACTCACGTCAAATTTGCAGACAGTCTTAGAGGGTTTGTAAATATTCTAAAGGGAGTGTGCATATGCATTCCAAGCATCTAATACCCAGGTTGCAAAGTGGAGTCCCTGGTGATGATGTGGAGTGGAGAGGGTCAAGAGGAGAGGGTGGGGGAACTGCAGTTGAAACCCCCCAAGGGCCGCATTGGGAGGCAGCCCCAGCACTTCTTGTGCACCGGCAAAGCATTGCACAGACTTTAGCACTGGAGGGGCCTTAGATGACACCTGATGCCATGGGTCCTACACCTGGGTGTGAATCCAACTATTTAGAAAAACAGAATTTCAAGCCCCAGTTAAATCCCTGAGGAAAGGAACCAGTATTTACAACTTATTTTTACAAAGCTCAGGTAATTCCACTGTTTGCCTAGGTTTAGGAAACCATGATGTAGTCCACATTCACATGTTATGATGAGGTTCAGTGACACACTGTTAGGTACCTGTATATAACCCGAACAAGAACTCACACATCTCAAGTCCTCTTCCAGGACATCTCCTCAGTGGCCTCGGCATGCTTGCAATACAAGTTGGTGGAAATTAATTTGACAATAAGGATCATATGAGACCAAAAGGTTAGGTTCTGATAGGAAAATTGCTCATTTTCTGCTGGACCAGAGAGGATTTTGAGATGTATCCAGACTCCTCCACTGATGCTGAGATGTTAGAGGGAGTGGGGAGATCAATAAAGGAGTTATTGATGATTTTGAGTAGGGGGTGTGTTTTTCGGATGTTTGTCATTAGATTTCTGTAGTTTAATTACAACGATGATTTTTCTTGTCATAGGTCATGGTTTGAGTCCTGAGAGGAGACTTCCAAGGAGCACCTCTGCCACGCCCACCTGCTAGCCAGAGGTGGTGATGTTGGTCCCTATTGGTACATAGGCTGTAGTTTTTCTGAGCATGTCTTTTCTGTTTCGATTTCCCTCAGAGATGCTGACAGAACTAGCACATTATCTGTGCCAGCCCAGCAGAGGTACTGAGAGAAAAGAAGACCACTTTTTCACACCCACAGTGTCACTGGGTATAAAAGAATGACAGGCTATTGCATAGATGGGGAGGGTGGACTTCAGAGCAGTGGCAGCTGCAAACTTGAGGGCTCTTTAAGAGTCACCACTGGGGTTTGTTAGACTGCAAATTCTTAGCCTGTCCCCCTGGAGGTGCCACTCAGGAAGCCAAGGGTGGGGCCCAGGAATTTGCATTTGTAGCAGGTACCGCAGGTGGTTCTGAGGCCGAGTATGTGTTGAGAGATCCTGCTTTGGAACTTGCTCTTTGGAGGAAGAAGCCATCATGGCACATGGAGACTCCTTCTGAGAAAGGACCACTTGGGTCTGTACTTAGCCTGCTCTTGAAACTCTTTGAAGAAAACCAGGTAGAGCCAATTTGTAGTGGCTCCTTTCAGATCATAATCCTAACGCATTTACTGCTCCACAGCAGTAGGTCTCAACTACTGCGCCCAGAAAAGCGCCAGGCTGCAGAGTCAAGAGGAAAGCAGGAAAGCATGGGAAAGCCAACAGATGTATAGGATGTGGAGCTGAGATGGATCTTTCAGCCTCTCGGTCCAATCCTTGTGGACTAGGAGCCCCCACGTGCTTGTTGAATTGCTCTGCTGCTTCAATATACAGGGACAGGTGGAAGTCGTTAAACCTCGAGGCTGTTAGATCTTCGTGAGCTCCTGGGTTTCCTGGGTAATTAGATTGCTGTCAATCAGAGAGTACGAAATTCTCCGATCAAACCAGATGCACAGCCCATCCCGAGACCCAATATACTGTGAGATGAGTCAGGTACTAACGAAATCACTGCAACTCTTGATTTAGGAGAAAGTTTGGGGCAGATAGGAGGAGGGCATATTCACAACAGCATTTGTAGCAGCAGATGGGCATATGAGCTTAATGCCTCGCCCTCTGGTGCCAGCGACCCAGCAGCCTTTTTGCAGAGATGGGTTAATGGCCTATTAAGTGAGCTGGACACATTTTCACAGCCCATTGCTGTAGTAAGCCAGAGGGCAGAGAGCATCTGGAAAGTCTCAGATTGGTGCCAAATGGTTCTGTGAAGCTGAGCTTGTGGGGAAACTGACCAGAGGGCGATTTGGATATCTGGGCTCAAATATTAGGGAATTAGGCACATGAGTCCATTGGCAGGAAAAGACGAAGATCATTAAACTTAGGAAATTTTTGCCACTAAAGAATCTAACCATTTCTGACCCAGAGACGTTTGGGAGCTATTAGCTTTAGAAGGTTCTGTTACAGTATCTGAGGGCGAACACAAACAGACCAGCAGGCGAACAGTACAAAAGAAAAACAGAAAAGGAACTCCTACTGCAAATTGACCACTGAGAGTCTTTATGTAATGGAGACAGAAAGCACCACCAGAAGGTAGTTTCTTTTGCTATTAATAGAGTTCCAGAAAGTTTTAGGTAAATTTCCCCAGACCTTTCTTAGGGGTTACCACCTCCTTTGTCTCTAAAACAGCTCAGAGAATGTTATTTTTTCTCCTTAAGCTGAGGGCAAGTACTGAACATTCATAATTAGGTGACAGTCCAGGCCATTGTGATGGGCTTGGGTGTGTGAGTCATTTACGACCAACATTATGGTCTAACAAGAGGCCAGCCATCCTCGGAACACCGACCTGGAATGAGAAATAAAGACATTTTGAGGGAGCCAAAAGTTCAGAGGGTCCTAGAAATGGATTATATAAAGTTGGTGGAGAGACTGGGAAGGTGATGCTTACTGAAATATCTAGGTATCCCCATCATTCACAGAGTGGACATACTCAAAGATTGCAAGATTTGGAAATGAGATGTGGTCGCCTGCATTCTAGCATTTCATAAAACTTAAAAAAAAAAAACGTTTCTGGGCCCCACCTTGGACAATCAGAAAAAGAAGCTCACACCTTTTGGTGAGCAGATACTGGAGGCTGTCAGAGCACAAAGGAGGGAGGGAGGGGTCAGTGGTATTGGGGGCAGGTGGAGAATCAGCAAAGTGTTCTCATTAGAGGTAAAACAATCCAGGTGGAAGTCTGAGCAGGATTTATCAGATGGGGGAGGAGGGAGAGGCATGCGCCAAGGGGCAGGGCAAGTTCTGGAGCAGTGGGAAGGCCAGCGAGGGAAGGGAAGTGTGGAGGACACTGGAGCCCTGCAGGGAGGCGGCAAGGAGAGCCCCCGTGGGGGTTGCCTGCTGCCTCTGGAGAGCGGAAGGCCCCGGGTCCTGTGCTGGCATCTCAGAGGGACAGTGTGCATGGAGGTAAGAGGCAGGGAATCTTGGCACTCACTATGTTTAGAGGGAGGGGAGGGGAACAGGAGCTCAACAGGAGGTAGGAAAATGAGTCTGGAGTGGGGTAGAGGGCCTGGAAAGTTCCCCAAGAGAGGACAAGAGGGTGGAAGGGGGGAAGCCAGCAGGGGCAGGGCGTGGGGCAGTCAGGAGCTGTGGTGACCCCTGAGAACACAGCTCAGCCAGAGGCAGCGGCCAGGGCACAAGCACAGGCGACTCTTTGGAGAAAGTGACAACAAAGGGAAGCAAAGAGCAAGAGGGAGACAATGGAGACCTGTTTGCCCTCTGTCGCCCCGGGACAGGGCCCCCAAGGTCTTGGTGTCCAATGGACGGAAGGCCACAGGCACTCACAGTCAGATGTGGTCTTGGTTACAAACAAATCACCTAAATCCATGAGTGCTTTACTTTGTAAAAAATACAGTAGAGCAGACCCAGGATGATCTTTATAGTTAAGTTCCTAATGCTTTTTTCCATCATAAAATACATGTAACTGAATAGCACCTCCAGGGGACACAGGAGAGACATTTCAGTGTCCAGCTCAGAGGCACTAAGTACATTCACACTGTTATGTGACCAGCACCACCCTCTGTGTCCACAAAGTTGTCATTGGCCCAGACTGAATCTTGTGCCCACGGATCACTAACTCCCCATCCCACCCCCTCCTGGCTGCTGGCAACCCCATTCTGCTGTCTCTATGAGTCTGACTCTCTAGGGACCTCATTTAAGTGGAATTATACACATCTGTCCTTTTGTGACTGGCCGATCTCACTCAGTGTACTGTCCTGAAGGTCCGTCCGTGCTGTAGTGCTGCAGCCTGGGTCAGAATTCCCTTCCTTTGTCAGGCCGAGTAATATTCCTTGGCATGTATAGACCACATGTTGTTTATCTGTTGGGGGACCCTGGGTAGCTTCCGCCTTTTGGCTGTTGGGAGTAGTGCTGCTGGGAACACCCGTGTGCAGACGTCTGTTTGAGTCCCTGCTCTTTGAGTGGGAGAGAAAGGGTTGCCGTTGAAGCTGCTGACACAGAAGTTGTGCACACCTGTCAGTCTTGTCCAGGCTGCAACCTGAGGACCCGCACATTTACTGGTTTACATGTAATCTAGTCGTCTGCTCTGTTTACTAAGACCAAGGGAAAGTTAGTTTTGGATGAATGTTTAAACCTCTCTGGGCTGCACAGAAAAGGTGCGTGGGCCTCTGTGTACTGGCCAAACTCAGCTTTTCTAAACCTCTCTGGGCTGCACAGAAAAGGTGCGTGGGCCTCTGTGTACTGGCCAAACTCAGCTTTTCTCAGCCCCTTAAATGCTGCCTCCCCCCACCACCCAACTGCCTCACAAGATTTTGTATGCATGCAACCTGCCCTCCCCCTGTCCCGGGCCTGGGGCACACTCCCGGCCACGTCACTCCTACTCACCTTGAAGTCCCCTTGGAGACTTCCGCTCCCCACAAAGTCCCCTCTGCCCGGCTAGACGAGGTTGGGGCCCGTGCCCTGGGCTTTCCCAGCACCCAGCAGAGCCTCTCTAGGGAGGTTGCGGGTTCTTCTCTCCCACTAGCTGGGAACTCCATCCACCTGCTCACCTTTGCATCCCTCAGTGCTTAGCACATAATAGATGCTCAGAAAAAAAACACTTCTGGGTGAAGGAGAAGAACGGATTAGGTTTGGGTGGGTTGTCTGGGGCTGCTCTGCCTGACGCTGCAGTTGTGGCCAGAGCAGAGCACGTTTGGGTCTGCCGGGCTGTGTCTGCCCACTGTCAGTGCCTCAGCCCAGTGCGGGCGCTTGGTTTCTGCGTGAGTGAGCTTGCCTAAGACACAGTAGTTATTTCTGGGTGTTTTTAAAGGTTGTGGAGTTTGAAATATGACACCTTTTGAAAGGTATTTATTTGACTACAAAGAAAAAATACTTGTGTTATATTGGAATTAGTAGGAGAGGAATAACTCTTTAGACTGCAATGAAAGCAGTTGGCGAAGCAGCTTATTTAATGAAAAGAAATTTTATTCTGGATTTGCCCTCAAATTCAAAATTTAAAGTGTAAGAGAGCATTTCAGTGTTCATTGTAGAATTACCTATAATATCAAAAATGGAGGGCCACATACATGTCAATAGGAGAATGGTTAAGCATATTACACTATATTTGTGGACAGAAATAACTTAATGTTTAGTAATGTGGGAAAATTATTCTGATATAATATAGCAAGTGGAAAAATGAGAATTCTTTCTCTGGTGGGATTCAAGGTGATTTTTATAGCACATTAGAGAAATCTAGTGTTTTTGTCAACTTAAGAGCATGTGCATCTTTATTGATATACTCTTTGGGGTGACAAAAAAATAAAATATACTCTGCAAAAAAAAAAGGTGATTTTAATTTTTAAAAATGTGTCTGTGAATTTGCCAAATTCTCTTCAATGAGTATGCATGCTTTTAACGGGAATAAAATGGCAGCGCGGGCAGGTCTTCCTCTGAACGCGTTAAGTGGAAAGGTGACAGCGTTTGCATATCTGAAGATGCTGGCATCCGCATCTGTTCGACCCACCATGTCACCTGACCTTTGGGCGATGCCTTGGTTTCTCCTTCTGGGTGGGCTCTGGAGGAGGGAGGAAGGACACAGGGACCTCCTGGACCTACCTCAAGGTTGAAGCTGTCAAGAGCTGGGCGGAGCTTCTCTTTGCAGGTCAGACAGTCCTTCTGACAGCCGCAGGACACGCTGGAGAAGAGGCTGAGCAGCAGGAGCTCACAGAGCAGGATGTTCATGGTGCGGGAGCAGGAGGCACGATGCTAAACACAAGCGAGGGTGGGGGGCAGTTAGAACAGCCGGTCTGCGGGGGCCTCATACAGGGGACATGGGAGAGACGTTCCTCAGAGGGGACAGTGCCAGGGCCGGAGATTCACCTTCCAGGAGGGGCCGCAGCTGCCATCCGGGCTTGGTGTCCATGCGGGGGCTAGTGTCCTGGCTCCCGGGGGAGCGCCCTGTGAGGCCTGCCACCCCGCTGGCCTCGACATGTGCGAGGGCACTGCCCAGGAGCTAGAGGCCTCACTTCACGGCTTTCCAGCGTGTGGCCTTGTGACAACCTCTCCAAGCCTGTTTTCAGAACGATAAGGGGACTAGGGGCATGTGCCTTGTCGCAGGGCTCTTGTGGAGGTGAGGCAAGGTCCGGGGGAGCTTTGGCAGAGGGCCGTGCAGGAGGGAGATGTGTGTGAAGTGCGTGATTACAAATGTCTCCTGTAGTGGCCTCATCCCCCCACCCCAGCCTGGGCAGGAATGCCCCACACCCCGGAAATCACTCTTCCTGGAAGCTTCCACCAGGTTCCTTGTCTGCTTCCCCTGCTAGATGTGAGCTAGTCCTGAGCACAGGACCAATATGTCCACCTTGCTAGTCATGCAAAGCACAGGACCAGTCACACAGAATTATATTTTGAAAAATGAACAAAGAAACTCCTGTAATAGCCCCAACAAGTATTAGTGAGATCAGTAGTTTATATTTTTGATGCAGGATTGACTGGACGATGTGCGATTTTTCCTGTTCTCTTTGTATTTGTGCTGTGATCCAGCCTCCTGAACCAGAAAGTTCTTTCCTTGAACTGCATCGTTCTGGGTCCATGTAGAATCATCTCTACTTGGAGGATGAAATGGAAAGGGAACCAGGGAACTTTCTGGAAATGTTGTGAATGTTCTTGACTGAGGTGTGGGTCTCTAGAATGTATACATTTGCCAAAACCCATTGAATCATACATTTAAATTCTGTGCATTTCACAGTATGTAATTTTTACTTTAATAAGGAGGTCAGTGCAAGAAAAACCAGAATAATTGCCTTTATTGCTTTTAAATGCTTTTCATTTTATTTACTGGGAAAGCGTATAAGCCGTACTACTCGAATGCAGCCTTCAGACCAGCAGCATTAGGACCACCTGGGGTCTGGTTAGAAGTGCAACATTTCAGGCCCTACCCCATTGCCCCTGAACCTGGATCTGAATTGGCAGCAAGATTCTCAGGTGATTTGTACACATGCTGAAGTTTGAGAGGCACGGGTGGAAGCTGGATGTGAGGTGGAGCCCATCAGTGGAGGAAGGAAGGGGACCCTGCAGTTGTCACCCCATGGCCACACTGGGAGACTCCCCAGCCCTTTTTGTGCATCGTCCAAGCATTTCATACCAAGACGATGTCAACTACAAGATGCACAAGCTATGTTTGGTATGTCGATGAAGTGACCTTTGAGATGGAGTTTGAGTGACGGGTAAGAGTCTGCCAAGACTCCACAGAAGGGCCATCTGAGAGACACAGGACACAGCCTTTGCAAAGGCACTGAAGTGTCAGGGCCACCTGCCCACACTCCCCTTTGCCCTGCTGGAAGGGGCTCAGGTCACATGGAACAGGGCTTTATTTGCCATCTTGGAGGGTTTGAGCTTCACCCCAAGGATGATTGTATGTCCCAGGCTAATGAAGAATAGACACCGACATCTCTACAAGCCAATATATCTCCAACAGATTTTTCTTCTTTATCCTGGAGGCCAATGCCTTGGTTGAGATTTCTTGTCTTGGTTATGTGATAGCCTCCTAATTAGTCTTCCTAACAATCTGGGCTTCCACCAAGTCATCCAAATCTGATGATGTGACTTCCTACTTACAATAATTCTAGAACCCCAGTTGTGAGTCTGCACCACTCCTGCCCACTTCTCTAGCTTCATCTCCTGTCACTCACCCTGTGTCCCCTGTAGTCCTGGTGACTTACAGTTCCCCACTCTGTCAGATCCTCAATGCCTCTGTGTTTTGGCACTTGCTCCTTTGGGCCCAGGAATCCATGCCTCCAACTCCTACTTCATACACACCTCAAGAATGATTCCCCTCTGAGAAACCATCTCTAACCCCAGGACTGATTGAGATAAATCTCCTCTGCCTCTCTGGCACTGCGAAGATACCCTTGTAGGAAGCAAGCAAGGGGCTCATCAGGCCCAGCAGACCTCTCTCTGCGGCAGAGTTGTAATTTGTGTTTTCTCATCTGCTCATCACTACATGCTGCCTGGGTTCAGATCCTGGGTCTGCAACACAACCTCTGTTTCTTGTCTGTAAAAATGGGACAATAACATATCTGTGTCCTGTGACAATTAACGAGTAAATGTCTGTAAGAGGTTAAAAGACACCAGGCTCACACACCTCAACAAGCAAAAAGCAAATAATCCAATTAAAAAATGGGCAGAGGAGCTGAATAGACAGTTCTCTAAAGAAGAAATTCAGATGGCCAACAGACACATGAAAAGATGCTCCCATTGCTTGTCATCAGAGAAATGCAAATTAAAACCACAATGAGATATCACCTCACACCAGTAAGGATCACCATCATCGAAAAGACAAACAACAACAAATGTTGGCGAGGTTGTAGAGAAAGGGGAACCCTCCTACACTGCTGGTGGGAATGTAAATTAGTTCAACCATTGTGTAAAGCAGTATGGAGGTTCCTCAAAAAACTCAAAATAGAAATACCATTTGATCCAGGAATTCCACTTCTAGGAATTTACCCTAAGAATGCAGCACTCCAGTTTGAAAAAGAAGATGCACCCCTATGTTTATCACAGCACTATTTACAATAGCCAAGAAATGGAAGCAACCTAAGTGTCCATCAGTAGATGAATGGATAAAGAAGATGTGGTACATATACACAATGGAATATTACTCAGCCATAAGAAAAAAACAGATCCTACCATTTGCAGCAACATAGATGGAGCTGGAGGGTATTATGCTCAGTGAAATAAGCCAGGTGGAGAAAGAGATTTCACTTATATATGGAGTATAAGAACAAAGGAAAACTGAAGGAACAAAACAGCAGCAGAATCACAGAACCCAAGAATGGACTAATAGTTACCAAAGGGAAAGGGACTGGGGAGGATGGATGGGAAGGGAGGGATAAGCGTGGGGAAAAAGAAAGGGGGCATTACTATTAGCATGTATAGTGTTGGGGAGGCACAGGGAGGGCTGTGAAACACAGAGAAGACAATTAGTGATTTTACAGCATCTTACTACGCTGATGAACAGTGACTGTGAAGGGGTATGTTGGGGGGAGTCTAGTAATCATAATGTTCTTCATGTAATTGTAGATTAATGATACCAAAAAAAAAAAAAGACACCAGGCACAGAACATGTACTATGTCAAAGCTTATAAAAGAAAGAGCCCCGAACCTTCTCTCTCTCACACATGCTCACTGTCTGTCCAAGGGCGCTTAGTGCACTATACTAGTAGGCATGGATTACTTGTCTATTTCTCCCAACAGAGCGACTTCCTGAAGGACAGGGCTCATGTTCCATGGTTCTCTGTATTTCCGGCACTGGGTCAGATACTTAGGAGGTGCTCAAAAAGTGTGACAAGTGACAGCGTTAGTGGGGACCTTCCTCCTTCTCCTCAGTAAATGTAGGGTGGAGAGTGTCGAGAAGCATGTGTCTCACTGGGGGCCCTGGGTGTTCAGGGAAGTTCAGGACATGTGCCACAGGCCAAGTGCCTATTAGCTAATTTTTTGTTCTGTTCAAGGGGAAAGGGTGGGAACTAGTTTTGCTCCAGAGCAAGGCAAGATGCCATCCTAAGCTGGAAATGGCAGAAGGCTGGTTGCAAATGGCCGTGAGGCACGGTTGGAAAGGTGCTACATGAGAAGGTCCCACAGGCCAAACAGGTGTTGGCACTCAAGCTAGAGAAGCTCCTAACCACGTACAAGTTCTTTTGAAAAGAAAATGTATCTTGGGTTCCAAACCTCTGCCATGTAAGCAAACGTCTTAAATTGAGGACTTTCTGAACACGTCCTTTTAACTTGAGAATTGTCTTCACATTTCTTAGTTTACTAAATTTCAGTCTTGCTATTCAGGAGATATTTTTGGAGTTTGTCTAGAATGGCATGGCTGTGCTCGCTACAGCCACATGATGGCAGTGACTGTATGTTACAGAAGAAAGCGAAGGTGATGCGAAGAGGGACTGTTACCGTTCCTTCTAGGTACACAACTGCAATACCTAAAATGTTCGCGCAGGCTGAGCTGATAAGTTGTGACAGATGTTAATGAAATGCTCTCTGGCTGAGATTTTTCATGAACTTCATTAACCATGGCTACTGGCACATTCAGGAAATGTTTAGTGGATTGGCTGATATTTGCTATCTCTGATTCTGGGTAAATGGGTTTTTAAGCTGAGGTGGGGAAAGAAGGTAGCTCCTGGGACATGTAGCTTGTGCTCCATTTGGTAGCCTTCCTGCCTGTCAACGTGGGCTTCTCTGGCTTGGCACTTGGGGAAACCTTATCAAATGCACTTGGTGTCAGCTGCCCTGCTGCTGCATGGCACGCCTTTCCTTATGTCTCCAACTTCTCTACCCTTCTATGTCTGACCCCACACTTTTAACAAGAGGCTCTACCTATTGTTGAAGAGCCATCTGTATGCAATACGATTCATTCTCCCTGCATTTAAAGAATCCTTAAAGTGGGAATGACAACATAGTCCTATCTCACAGGTTTGTGATATTTAAATGAGATGAATATAAGTGAAAACTCAAAATATATGTAGTTATCCTTATAGGGGACAACATTTTGTACTTTTTCGTGTGCCTCACGACACCTAGAACAGCTGTGCTCTAGGTTAAATTAGATTTTGAAATTTCTTGAAAACTCAAACTAAGCTTTTCATTTTTAAGAAGTCTTGATCTTTAAAAAGTCTACATGCTTTTTCTGTAGCTCTGTGTATAAGTTAATTAAAAGGAAGGAGAGTGATTAGCAGTTCATGAGTTATGTTAATGTTTAATCTTTACACTGT